CCACCGACGCCAATGATGAGAAAATAATACTCACCAATCTTGAACAGAAGTGGAAATAATAATATTTGCGGTTGTGGGAGGTGTCAGAGGTAAAAATATCTACAAAACTGCCATCAAAGTTGAATTTGATATTTCTTGGAAACTGCAAATTAATTTACGTTAGATGTTCATTTGATCAGCATATTTCAAAATAACCCTGACAGACATGTGTTTGTTTAAGTTCTTGAAACAGAAAATTTTGATGAAAATTGACCAATGTGCAGCTGGATGTCAGTCTCTTCAATTTCACTATTTTGACGAGCGCCTGAACTGACCGCGATGCCGAAATGGCTGAGTCAATGTTGTTGCTGTGTAATAAGCTCAAAGAGGGAAGTTAGTGGAGAGAGAGAGAGAGAGAGAGAGAGAGAGAGAGAGAGAGAGATTCCTCTTCCGTCATACTGTGGAGTATTGACACAGCAGCAATTACGACATGGTGCTCCTAAAGAGGAAGACAGAAAGAAAATAAGAAAACAAAATAAATTGCAGTTGAGTAAAATTTTCTGAGGCTTTAGAGGGATAGAAAAACACATGTAGATCATTTATAAAATTTAATTGCACTTTACGTTAATAAAAGAAATTCAACATTAAGAGAACATCTAGCACTAAAACACGCCCCTCCCTCCCAACAAACAGACGAACAAACAAACAAACAATCAATCAATCAATCAAACGAACGAACAAACAAACAAACAAACAAACAAACAAACAAACAAACAAACAAACAAACAAATGAACGAACAGTCAAACAAAAAATATATTTTTAAAAAGTAAATACTTATTCTAAGTTAAACAGCGGGTACAAACAAACGCACCAGTCTGCCTCCTATAGATATCTACGCCTTTAACATGAGTAGACGGAGACTCTTCGGTTGTCTGGCTACACCCACGAACGAAGATAAGTGGATATCGCGCATAATCTAAAAAACAAAAGCCTTGATCTGATATCACAAACCAGTAACATCAAGTGGGCCAACAGCGTAGCCCATCGAAATTTCTTTCCGGTCGATCTGGGCTGACTTTGACGTCAGAAAAATGCATGCACTTTCTGATTATTCAACTCTGCCCGTTAATGGTAGATCACTTATCTATCTATCTATCTATCTATCTATCTATCTATCTATCTATCTATCTATCTATCTCACAACACATACCACTAAATTCCTACCTTAATAGGATCCGCAAGGATACCCCACCCGACTGCTCGTTGTGCGACTGCCAGGATGAAACAGTACCACACCACATCTTTAACTGCCCAGCACTTTGTGACCTGCATAGCACCTACCTACCTGCCTCCCCAGACATCGGAAACACTCTATACAGCGACAAAGCACAGCTGATTAAAACCTGTCAATTCTTTGCCATATCGACAGACCGAAGGGCTAAAACCCAAATGGCTGCTGGATCGGAAAAGTAAAGTAAAGTATCTATCTATCTATCTATCTATCTATCTATCTATCTATCTATCTATCTATCTATCTATCTATCTATCTATCTATCTTTCTATCTTTCTATCTAACTGACTATCTGTCTGATTATGAGTGTGTGTATGTATGTATATATATATATATATATATATATATATATATATATATTGTGTGTGTGTGTGTGTGTGTGTGTGTGTGTGTGTGTGTGTGTGTGTGTGTGTGTGTGTGTGTGTGTGTGTGTGTGTGTGTAGCCTACGTTTGTGTCACTTTTTAGCAGAAACCAGGCACTCTCTAGTCCTCAAAATTTTAAATGAAAATAGTATTCAGGACGAAGACGGATTTTCGTGGTTTGAGATTTAAAATTGATAAAATTGAAAATTTTAATAGTTGTGTATCGTTATCATCATCATTATCATTGCCTTTCTCACCCTGGGTCAGGATATAGGCCACGAACAAACACTCTCCACCTTTCCCTATCCTGGGCTAGTCGCTTGATATCACTCCACGTCTTCCCATTTTTGTGACTGTGTATCGTTATAAAACACTATAAAATCGAACCATTGCTTTCCAATTCCTTTTTTTAGAATTTATTGTGAACGTCAGCTCTTCGGTTTTAGTGGTTATATGTGTGTGGGTGGTTGGTTAGAGAGCTCAGGCGCACAATCAAGTCTAGTGTGTGTCGGTGACACGGCGTTCTGGGGGAATTCTCGGATTTTCAAATGAGAATTTAAAAGCGTAATACATCATTATTTAAAACGTATGAGGGATATCAATAAATCTCACTGTAAGGTCATGGTAATAAGTGAAGGAATATACATGTAGGCCTACTATGCAAATGACTGTTCTGTATGCTCAAGATGTGATGAGCTATGATGTTCTTTGCACTTTCAGTACAATGGTCTGAAAGTAACCTAGAAATATTGAAAAGATAAATATACGCTTTCTGCTCCAAACAAAAGCCTGCTTATATTAATATTCAAGGAGAATGGATGGATTTTTTTTTAAAGTCTTAAAATGTCCAGAAAGTAGAAATGCCTCTTACGGCAGTTTCCTCCCGCTAATAACAAGGGCTCAAGAATACTCATGAAGGAGTTAAATCGTGGTCAACCAGCATGATACTAAGTTGATCAAATATGAGGGTCAGCTGTTATACGAGATATGGCTAAAGCAAGACAACCGTAATAACCTGCTGAATTGCTGTTTTTTTGTTCTTTCTTTGTTTTGTTTAAACTGTTATTGTTGGTGTTTGTGTGCCTGTGTGTGCGTGTGTGTGTGTGTGTGTATGTGTGTGTGTGTG